CTCTGCCTCCCAAGTGCTGGGATTAAAGGCGTACGCCACCTCGCCCGGCTGAAGTGAATTTTTAAAGATCTAAAAATTACTTAGAAATAGAATAATATAAGCAAAGAACTTCTAACCATTTTGGTAGATGCTCCTATCAGTTGTTTTTAAAAAATAGATTAGTTTGTTATTTGTCTTCTTTTTTCTTTCCTTCTTTTTGTAGGTTGTTTCTTATGAGGATCATGGATATCCCCTATCTAAACTTGGAAGGGCCAGACTGTAAGTACATTTTGATTTTCTCATTGCACCTATGCATACCACTGTGTGGTTTGAAAGGGATAACAGCAGAAAGAGTGCTGAAGAGCATTTTCATTTAAAAATGGCAGTGATTTTGTGATTACTTACCACTTACATTTTCTAGGTTATACTTAAAAAAAAAATCTATATATCTCTTCATTGTTTCATTTTCCCTCTGAAGTATAATCATTTCTAAGACATATTTACAATAGATTTTAAGATATGCTATGCCAGTAACTTGTTAAAAATTTGTTTTCTAATTACATATGTATGTTTTTAAAAATCTTTTTTAGACAGGGTCTCCCTGTAGCTCCAGCTGGCCTGGAACTCACTATGTAGACCGTGCTGGCTTTGAACTCAGAGATCCGCCTGCCTCTGCCTCCTGAGTGCTGGGATCAGGGCGTATTGCTACCACATACCCATCTATTTCTCGGTTTTTTAAACCACCATGTGAGTGTTGAGATACGAGGTTTTGTTCCAGTAGAGAATAAAGCATGCTTTGTCCCAAAGCCTTTCCAACTCATGGGGATCCTTTGCTTTAAATCCAGGTAAGTGTGTTGACAGACCAGGTGGAGGCTCAGGGAGAGAAGATTGGAGTATGTAGGCAGCACAAATTGGATTTGATAGGTTATTAATAGCCCCAGCTGTCCTGGAACTCACTGTGTAGACCAGGCTGGCCTTGAATCAGGGCGTATACAATCATGCCCGGCTTCTTATGTGTGTTTTTAAATTTAGTGAGTTTATTTCTTTTTTTCTCAATCAAAAACCTTGAACTGGGTCCGTGGTGGTGCACACCTTTAGTTCCAGGACTTGGAAGGCAGAGGCAGGTGGACCTCTGTGACACCAAGGCCAGACTGGTCTATGTAGTGAGCTCTGACAGGGGTGTGTGCTTAGCACCTGTGGATTTAATCCCCAATACTGCAAAAACAGAACCAACAACCCTGGAAAGTCCAGCCTGTTTGGGAGGTGTTTACTATCTCTTTGCTTCAGTCTTCAGTTTCTGGCCTGGACCTGTATGTACTTGGTGGTAATAGTCATTGCCATGATGATTTGAGAACATACTCTTATGGGCCTGTCTTCGTCCAAAAAGCTCAGTATTTCCATTCTCATTCACAGCCAGGAGACACAGTGGTCAGGTCTTAGCCGAGAGTTGCATGGTGAAGTGGTGATTCTGGGATTAGAACACAAGATTATAACTCAGGCAGCCCCCCTTTAAAAATAGCCCATTTGATTTGGTAGTTCACTATTATTTTCATTAAAAAAAAAAACCCTAATAGATAGCTGAGAAAGTTAAATTGCTGATAAAATTTCTTGAACAGAGTAACCTTTTTTTGTTGTTTATTCTGCTATTTTATTTATGAGAATTTCATACATGAGTATTATGTTTGGATTATTTCCATCCCTTCCAATCCCCTCCAGTGCCTCCATCCCCCCCATAACTCCCTCTGAATTTCTTGTTCTCTTCTTTGATTTATTATTGTTACATATACATTTATAAATACACACACACACACACACACACACACACACACACACATATATATATATATATATATATATACACTGTGTCTATTTATTGAATGCACTGAGTTCATTTAGTGGTGTTTGTGTGTACCTGTGTTTAGGGATTAGATAAGCAGAGTAATCTTTTTTATTCTGTTAAATAATTTGCATAAGAAATTTCTCAAAAGAAGAGATACTTCTTTTTTTCTATGGCTTCTTTTGAGTTTTTTGAGAGTCTTGCTGTGTTAATTGGCTTTGAACTTGAAGTGGTTTTCTTGTTTCAGCCTCCCAAGTGTAGGGATTCCATGTCTGCATCTCCAAGACTGACTGTGAAGATGTTTCTGCATAGAATTGCTAAAAGTCAAATTGTTGTATATCATATAAAGCATCAGATCTGCATGGGTGTGGTGACACACATCTGGAATCCCAGCACTCAGGAGGCAGAGGCAGGATCACTGCATGTTTAAAGTTAGCCTGGTATACATAGTTGTTGAATTCTACCATCCTAAGAATACTTTCAGGAGTTGTTGGTAGTGATGAAGCATTCATAAACAGTTTCTCAAGATAGTGTATGTTAGTCTCATCAAAGGATCCCTAGTTGCAAGATGTGGTGGTGCACACCTGTAACCCTAGATAGCTGAGGCAGAAGGTGTAGTGAGTTCCCGTCAGCCTGGGCCTGCCTAAAATCCAGACCAAATAAAAAATGAACACTCAGAATTTCTTGCTTGTTTTGGTCACTTTTTTAAAGACAGGGTCTCCACTGGCCTCTAACTTGCTACATAGATCAGGCTAGCGTTGAAGTCACAGAGATCTGCCTGCTTCCTCCAGAGTGCTGGATTAAAGGCTACACCACCATACCCACCCTTTTCTTAAAAAAAAATTTGTGCTTGTGTGTATTCATATGCATGCAGAGGCCAGAGGTCAGCCTTGGGTGTTGTTCCTCAGGAGATGTCCACCTTGTTTTTTGAGATCTGGTCTCTACCTGGAGCTTATTGCTTAGGCTCAGCTGGTTGGCAAGCAAGCTGGAGAGATCCTCCTGTGTCCCTCTTCCTAGCACTGGGATCACGTCCACTATGTCTACCTTTTTATATGAGTTTCTAGGATCTCACTCATGTCCTCACACTTATGTGGCAAGCGTGGAACAGAGCTGTCTCCCTATCTCCTCCTTTGATCACTTTTCAGCTATCACCCTTTCATCACTTTTGTCTTGTAGTGCAACCTAAACGTGATAATGTGCTCCATGTGACATTCCCCAAAGAATGGAAAACCAGTGATCTTTACCAGCTTTTCAGTGCCTTTGGTGAGTAAAACACAAGTGATGATGAGCGATTTAAGGTTTTGCTGTTCTTTTGGTATATAGGTGGTCAGAAAGAGACAGCATAAAGGTGTGTCACTATGCAAGGTTAATTTCACTCATGGAGTTTTCCTCTTCTGTATGATCTGAGGAGCCATGTATAACCCTTCCCTATAGAGTTCTTTTAGTCCATGGAAAGCAAGAAGCCATAACTATGACTGTCCTTACTGCTGACCAGGGAAAATAAACTGAGGTGGAAGGTAAATAATTTTGAAGAGTAAATTCAGAGAGAATGTTTTATAAGAACAAGTAGTCTCTATTTGAGGTTAAATAATTAAAGCAACAAGCACAGGTGTCTGGGCAGACTAAGAGTTGAGGTAGCCGTGTGTGTGTGTGTGTGTGTGTGTGTATACACATTGATTTGGGCAGGGAAAAGTGGAGGAAGGTGAAGACGGAGAAAGCATCTAAATGCTATTAAGCTATATTGTATGACAATTGCAAAAAATTAAATTAAAAAAAAGAAAACAGGCATGAATTGAAAAAAATTTAATTAAAAAGGGATTGTTTATATCCAACTGAAATATTTTTCGCATTGAATTCTAAGTGATATCCTATTAGTTATGTATAGTAATCTGAAATGAGCATTCCCTTTTTTTATGTGCTACATTATTTATCAGAACAAAACTGTATTAAAGGCATAATTAAAATTTAAATAGTTACAAAAAATGATTTGAGGTTTTTATAAGGTAGGGTAGTTTTTCTTTTTTTTTGAGACAGGGTCTCTCTGTAGCCCCATCTGTCCTGGAACTCACTTTGTAGACCAGGCTGGCCTTGAACTCACAGAGATCTGCCTGCCTCTGCCTCCCGAGTGCTGGGATTAAAAGCGTGTGCCACCATACCTGGCAGTTTTTCTTTTTTTAAAAAAAGATTTATTTATTTATTTTTGTTTGTGTGTGCCTAAGTGTACATATATGTACCACATGCATGCAGGAACCTTTTGATCCTCTGAAACTGAAGTTTCAGGTGGCTGTGACTTGCTTGATGTGGGTACTAGGAATTGAACTTTGGTCTTCTTCTGCAAGAGCAAAAAGTTCTTTTGACCACTGAGCCATCCCTCCAACCCAGCTCACTTTCTGATCAACTCATGTGCTTAGGCTTCTGCCGAGGTTTGTAAAGACCATCCTGATTCCAAGCCTGCAGCAGTGCTTCTTTTTTAACTAATGAAATATTGAAGCTATTTATTCTTGTTGGAAGTTCTTGGATAAAGTGATGGCAGCAAACTAGCCAGTAGTAAGAATGCATAGTAAATGCTTATGTATTTCCTCAAAGGACTTACTATGCAGACATTTAAGAAAATACTTGATAGGCTCCTGGTGAGATGGCTCAGTAGGTAAAGGCACTTGCTATGCAAGCTTGGCAATCTGAATTAGATCCCCAGAACCCATGTGAAGCTGGTAGGAAAGAATTTATGCTACCAAGTTGTCCTCTGGTCTTCACATATGTACCATGGCATGCATGTGCCACCCTTCCCTTATCATACACACAGTCATAATAAAATAAAAAGAAAATATTTGAAGTGTATGTGCAGAATTGTAACAGGCATTTAAGAAAACATTTTAAGTATATTAAAAGTGTATTTTGCCAGGCATAATCCCAGCATTCCGGAGGCAGAGATGGATGAATCTCTGTGAGTTTGAGGCCAGTCTGGTCTACATAGTGAGTTCCAGGCTAGCTAGGGCTACAGGGAGTTGATATGAAATAGAATTTTTGTATAATTAGCACTATTTCAAGAAAAGTATATAGAGGAATCAGATGGAAAGGAAGTAAAATCTGAAATCCTATTACCACTTGAGTATTTTAGATAGAATCTTTTCGTTCTAAGCTTTTCTGTATTTTCTATAATAAGAGCATATTACCTCTTATAAGTTAAAAACAAATCTTGTATACTTTAGTTTTGGGGGTTTTAAAAATATTTAATTTATTATTTTTATTTTGTGTGTATGAGTGTATTGCCTGCATGTAAGTGAGTGCACCCGTGTTGTGCAGTACTGTGGAGGTCAGAAGAGGACTTCAGATTCCCCTGACTGGAGTTAAGGACGGTTTGCAGCCGCGATGTGGATATTGGAAATCAAACCCGGGTCCTCTGCATGAGCAGTCACTGCTTTTAACCGCTGAGCCATCTCTCCAGCCCCAGTATACTTAAGTTTTAAAAATGTATGTGAGGCCAGGTGTGGTGGCACATGCCTTTAATCCCAGCACTTGGGAGGCAGAGGCAGGCAACTTTTTGTGGGTTTGAGGCTAGCCTGGTCTACATATTGAGTTCCAGCCAGCTGGGGCTACAGGGAGACCCTGAATCAAAAAGACAAACAGAAAAATATGTGAAAGCAGGTGTATTTCTTTTTTTTAAAATTATTTATTTAATAACCACATAATTAGAAGAAGCATTTCATTACAACAGCATTGACATACTCAATAACAATTTCCAGAGCTAAGATGCATCTCTTTCAAAATTGGCCGCAAATCCCTAGGTTTACAGTCGAATTATTATAGTTATACAATATTGTACTTAGTATAAACCCTATAAGACATAAAATGAAATGAGGTTTTAACCTTTAAAAAGGATCTTCATTTCATTATTAAAATATACAGTTTCATACAGAAAAATAAGCAGGTGTATTTCTAGGACGTTATCTTGATCTTTGCAGATGGTTTAATTGACTAAATTAAAATGCCTCAAGTAGAAATTTTTTTCAGTTTAGTTAAATATAAAATTAGCTGTGTGGCCTTGGGCAGGTGTCCTCTCGGAATCTATGTTTCTTCATCAGAAACAACAGCAGTGTTTTGTATGTATGTTGCCTTGGTATAACACTAGGATGGCAGGAGAATGGCACTCTATCTAAACGGCAGCTACTGCCCACTGGGTGGAGAGGTAACTAGCCTGTTACCAGAAAGTGACGTTTGTCATTGGGAGAGTCTGGGGGTTGTTTTACTGAGACTGGAAGGGAGGGTGGTTTTTTCCCTTTGATAATGAGACTTCTGGCCTTTGAAATGAATAGAATGAAAACTTTTTTAAATTGATGAATTCCAGTGATGTTTGAAATTCAATTTTCTGTGTATTCCTGAGGGGTGATGGCAGAATGTCGAGGTCTCTGTCTTGTCCTTCCATTTTATCTGACTTCTGACCGAGTTTTTCTCCTCTCTCTGCTCCTGCAGGCTCTTCTGTTCCATCCTGGGGACATGAAGCCTGTGGGAAGTACTTACCTTTCTCTTGATGAGCACTATGTGGTTTAGTCCAGTACTTTTTACTCCTGTTTCTACCTTTGTCAGTCTGTCTTGATTTTTTGTCTTTACATCCTTACTTAAAAAAAAAAAAAAAACAATTATTTGTGTGTGTGTGTGTGTGTGTGCGCTGTTGGCAACGTAAGGGGCGATCAGAGGACAACCTTCCGGAGGTTGTTCTCTCCTTCCACCATGTGGGTTCTGGGACTTGGACTCAGGTTGTGAGGCTCGGCAGCAAGCACTGACAATCCATTGGGCTGTCTCACCAGTCCTCTCTTCGTTCTTCTTTCCTTTGTCCTCCATTCTGCCATCTACTCAGTCTACCTGGCCTGGTTTCAACATGGGTTTTCCTTATGTCTGTAGTGCTTATTGACTCATTTTCATGTTCCCCCTTCTTCTTGGCAGCCCAGTTTTGGTTGCCAATAACATAGTACAACAGATTGGGCGTGTTAGGAAGACAGATTACTTTTAGCTCACAGTTCTAGAGGTTTGGAGTTAAGGGCTTGAATTTGCCTTCTTGTTGTCAGGGTCCCCAGGCAGCACAGGGCCTTTCAGGCAAGAGGCAGGGAACCCATGTACTTGTGCACGTGTGTCTTAGGTCTGTACCTCTTTTTATACAGCCACTTCGGTTCCATGAGGAGGTGCTACCCTTCACGGGCTTCTCTCACTCTGGCACTTCCTGAAGACCACACCTCTAAGTGACATGATTCAATTAGGCTCCCACCTCTTTACTCCCTTTACATTTCCAACTTATGAATATCTGGTAATGGAGATTAAATGTGAGCATGGGGCAGGGGCAGAGCATCCAAACAGCACTCTCTATAATGAAGTAGTTGTATAACAGCTCTGATTGTATGTGGTCTCTGAGTTTGGTTAGTGGTTTTTTTCAGGGATAAACAGTTCTCAACCCTGGTATAAGACTAGACAGAACTGTGGCATGCTTTTGGAGTTAAGCTGAAAGCATCTTTCTTTGGATTTTATTTTTCAGTTTTTAAAAGTTTTTATTATTTTGGAATGTGCATAGGTGTGTGTAGTACATATGTATGTGTCAGTGCATGTACAGATGATTTTTTGTGTGCATGTGAAGTTCAGAGGTTGACATTGGATGTCTTAGACCTCAATAATGCTGTGCCTTATTTTTTTCTAAATTAAATTTTTCATTTTTTATTTGTATATGTGTGTATATGCAATCCCATGGCATGTATGTGGAGGTCAGAAGACAACTTGTGGGAGTCAGTTCTCTCGTTCCACCAAGTGGGTCCCAGGGATTGATCTCAGGTTATGAGGGTTGGTAGCAAGTGCCTTTACATGCCTAAGTCATCTCACTAGCTCTCCTAACCGGTTTTTTTAAAGTTTTAAAAAATTTATTTTTATTTCATGTGTATAAGCATTTTTCTTACATTTATGTAAGTGCACCTGTTATGCAATGTCAGCAGAAGCCAGAAGAGGATGTTGGATTTCCTGGAACTGGGGTTATAGGTGGTTGTTCACCACCCTGTGGGTGCTGGGAAACCAACTTTGGTCCTCTGGAAAAGCTACCAGTACTCTTAACTCCTGAGCCCCCCAACTATATTTTTTGACAGGATCTCTCGCTGAACCTAGAGCTAGGCTGGCCAGCCTGAGAGCTCCAGGCTGTCTCGACCTCCCAGTGCTGAGAGTACAGGTATACTCAGCTGTGTCCCCCTCCTTATGTGGGTACTGGGGATCAAGCTCAGGTTGTCATACTTGCAAGGCAAGCAACCTATGACTGAGTATCTCCCTAGCCCTCTTTTGATTTTAAAACAAAATTTCTCAAATCTTCTTATTTTACTTGTTTTGATTATTTTCCTTTGAAATTGTATATGTATCTGTGTGTTGTATGTGTGTGTATATACACAGGTACATATACCTGTACACATGACTGGGGGGGGTGCCCTGCTTTATCACTGTCTACCTTATTCCCTCAATACATGGTCTCTAGTGAACCTGAAACTGTCCATTTTAGCTAAGTTGGCTGGCCAGTAAGCTCCTGGGATCTTTCTGTCTCCACCCCCAAGTACTGGGGTTACAGGCACATAGGTTCATATCTGGGTGCTGAGCATTCAGATTCATCCTCATGCTTGCACTGCAAGTGCCCTTACCCCCAAACCATCTTCCCAGCCTTTCTTTTTAATAGAAATAACAGCTTTGGTAGATTGAAGTTTTCAGTAGGCTAATTATGTAGTACTGAGATTTGATCAAATATTACCAGCACCTCATCTCTCTAGATTCTTAATGAAATATGTCAGATTGATAGCATGTATCTCACATCTCTCCAAGTGGTCAAATGTTCACTTTATTTCTAATTTACTATTAACAGGTAACATTCAGATATCTTGGATTGATGACACATCAGCCTTCGTTTCTCTCAGCCAGCCTGAACAAGTACAAATTGGTAAGTGTCCTGGGCGTCTATTTTATGTATGAAATAAAGTGGGAGGTCACCTTCAGTTTGAAAGTTCTGGTTTCAGGCAGGCGATTCACTGGCATTTCTGTCTGGTTTGTTTTTGAGCTTGCAGGTGAAGAAAAGGAAATCAGTAGTAAGTATAACATGTAGGAGAGAAGACAGTTTTTTTGATTCATTAGATTACAGCTACTAAACAGTGGCTCATGACCCTTATAGTGCCATGTAACTGAATATGGGGCTTGAAAATTTGGCATCAGGAAAGGTTTCTGAGTTTGCAATGACCAAACAATTCAAAATCAAACTAGGAGATCCAAGGCAGGGCTTCACCACTGCCTTCATTCCGAACACACAGCATGTGTTCTTTGCATGCATGTGATGCAGCGCCAGCATAAACTGCCTGAAACACCCTGGCTCAGATTCCAGACTACTCTATGTTATGAGTTGCAGTGGTTTTACTGCACATTCAGTTTTCTGCTCTTAAAGAAACAAAATGCTTTAATTATAAAAAACAAGGAATTTCTACATTATTTACCATCATTCCTCAGCACATCCAATTAATACATCATTGGATTGTATTTTGTTAGATAAGCACATCCATCTCATTAGTACGCAAATTGCTTTTGTCTTAATACAATTATTGCATGTGTAGGTATAATATTTAGAATCGAGAACAAAAAAATTAGGTTTAAAAGAAAAGGAGCACAGTTTTTGTCTTCTGTTTTTCATGGTGGATGTGTGAATTCAGTTTTCTGCATATTGATGTAGCAGGAACCATCTCTGCATTTCATGAATCCAATAAGTGCCATTCCTTTCAGGCAGTGATTGTGAGAGGTGGGCTTTCTTTTGATTTCTTGGACCCTAGTGCAGTGGGAATTGGACCTCATTGGACAGTGAACGTAGATTTCACATTGACCCATTTGGAAGAAATGATTTTATTGTTAATGTTTGCCTGGATGCTTTGCGTATGAGTTGTCATTGTTGGACATCCTTAAATAAAACTGATTTGTGTGTGTGAAAGAATTGTTTTAAAATAATTTTTGTGATTTATTATCAGTAAATGTTTGACTTGTATGTCTTTTTTTATATACCTGTAGACCCTGGGTCATGTAAAGATTTCTGAGGCAAAAAGAGTTTGTGAGTAGACAAAGTTTAAGAAGACCGTGTTGGACATAGCACTCAGTATGTTTCCACTTGCCTCGCCATTTGTACTTTTTCTAGAATGAGTTGCAAATTTACTCTGAGGATTTGAAGTAGATACTTGAGGGGAGAGAGGTGGGCATGGCACCAGTGTGGTCTGTATTGGCCTGCCCATCCTGTATTTTTCCATTTATCTGTAATTGTGATTTATCCACTCCATTAAACTTGTACCAAGTACTCATTTTACAAGCAGCTGAATGATACTTCATTTGCTTTTAAATAAGGTTTTGAGGACCCAGGTTCCATTCCCAACACCCACATGGTGGCTAACAACCGCTGTAACTCCAGTTCCAGGGCAATTTGATGCCTTCTTCTGACTTCCCTGGGCATTGCACAACACCGGTGCTCTTACATACATGCAGGCAATACACTCATACACATAAAATAAAAATAAATAAATAAATTGCTACAATAAATAAGATTTTGAAAAGATGTTACCACATCTTCGATTAGACCTTAAATAATTTTGACAATAATCACTAAATAATATTCTTCTTTTTTTGTTGTTGTTGTTGTCTTTTTGAGACAGGGTCTCCCTGTAGCCCCAGCTGTCCTGAAACTCACTATGTAGACCAGTCTGGCCTTGAACTCACAGAGATCCGCCTGCCTCTGCCTCCTGAGTGCTGGGATTAAAGGTATGTGCCACCACGCCCGGCTTCTTTTTTTTAAAAACAAGGTGTGAGACATCAAGCTCACAGAGATCCACCTACCTCTGCACTTTAATCCCAACTGCTGGGATTAAAGGCATGCACTACCATCACTGTCAGTTTATCTTTTTTTTTTTAACATCAAGAAAAATTTTTTGGGTGTGTGTGTGCATGCATGCAGGCATACATACTACAATGTCAAGTATGTGGAGATCGGAGAACTTGTAGGAGTTTGTTCTTTCCTACCATGTGGGTTCTGAGAATCAAATGAAGCTAGTTGTGCTTGGCAGCAAGAACCTTTACCTGCTGAGCTATCTTACCTGCCCTAAACATATTATCTTTTCAGGAGGGTGGGGAGGCTGATTGTGTGTGTGTGTGTGTGTGTGTGTGTGTGTGTGTGTCTTATTTTTAAATTTTTATCTACTTTATTTGTGTGAGTGTTTTGCCTGCATGTAGGTAAGTGCACCCATGTTGTGCAATGCCTGCAGAGGCCAGAAGAGGACATTGGATCCCCTAGAACTGGAGTTAAGGACACTTACTAGCTACCCTATAGGTGGGAACCAAACCCAGGTCCTTTGTAAGAGCAGCCAGTGCTCTTAACTACTGAGCCATCTCTCCAGCCCCTAAACATACCTTAAGTTGATATGTTTTTGAATAAAATATTGAACATGTATTGTTAGGCTACATATACAAATGGATTTCAAGTACCATGGTACTTAACAATTAAAAAAATTTTTTTTATTGATATTTGGTGTATTTCATACAGAAAATCATCTTTATACCCTTCCCCTTTGGTACCCTTCATAGCCACCCCACTAGAGTTCATACATTCTGTCATTTGTGTTAAAGCCTATCATGTAAACTTAGTGTCCCCAGATGTCCTTCAGTGCAAGTTTGTTCACTGGGATCTAGTCAGCCTATCTAGAGTCCCGCTCTTTAAGAAGATCAGCTCTTCCTCACCCAGCAATAGTCGGCTGCCAGTAATTCTTCAACTAAGATTGGAGCCTAATGCTCTTTTCCACAGTTCTGTGCAGGGGTTTTGTCTGCTTAAGTTTGCATGGGTCTAGTGCATGCCGACAGCATTGCTTTTTTAATTCATATGAGCAAGGTCCCAGGAGCCTGTAGGAATATTTCCATATGGTCCTGTACCTCCTTCCTGGCTCTTACAATCTTCCTGTCCCCTCTTGCACAATGGTCCCTGAGCCCTGGGTGGGTGGAATCTGATACAGGAGTCCTGTTCAAGGACCCATACTCTGCAGGCTCTTATTCTCTGCGTTTGGCCATTTGTGACCTTTTGCTTTCCTAGCCCTCTGTTGCATGAGGGAGCTTCAGTGATGAGAATTGAAAGATGCGTTAGTGTTCTCTTCATCTCTTGTTCTGTGTTCCACTTAGACTTGGGCAATTCACAGACAATCTCTGTGTATGACCAGTTGTGGAACTCTATAATTATCTGTCTCTTGAAAAAGAAGCTTCTTTGATGGGTGGTGACTGGGATACTTGTCTATAAATTTGAAGATCTCTATTTTGCACATAGTAAGAAATTACTTTTTTTATTTTTTTGGTCTTTTTGAGACAGGGTCTCCCTGTAGCCCCAGCTGTCCTGGAATTCACTATGTAGACCAGGCTGGCTTGAACGGGATGTGACAACCTTGGAGTTTTCTCTAAGATTTATGACCTCTCCAGCTATGTGTATTTAGCTCTGTTTACAGACGACACATGAGTTCCCACCCATGGAGAGTGTTTTAAGTCCAATTAGGTAGCTACTGATTACCCCCAAGATAAAAGTGCCACTACTGCACCAAAGTGTTTGCTGTACTGGTCACTGATGTGGTTTTTAGGTCTTGAAGCTGGGGTTGGACCATCATTGATGTTCTCCCTCAGCAGCTTCCATGGTGCTATGAGAGCTAGCCTTTAGGGGAGGTGGCTTTCAGTTAGTTCTGGCTCTGTTGCTCCAAATCCTGTGTCCACAAGTATGTCCTGCCTTCAACAATAGGGCCTTACCACCAAGTTCTGGGAGGCAAGTACTTAACAATTTTAAAGGCATGAAAAATTCAAGTGATTTGTCTCTTTTTATTTTAATAAAGAGCTACACACTAGCATAGTTGAGTAAATTATATGTGAAAACTTCTACAAACATACAAATTCAGATCAGAATGTTTTGATATTTTTGTTTAATTTTCCAACCATTTCAGGAACATAGACTGTGTTGTAGAGATAAAAACTTAGACTCTGGAGTCGTTGCTGCTCAGCATCTACAGTGTGACCTCATACATATTATTTAACCTTGCTCAGGTCTGTTTATGTCTGTACAGTAAGGCTGAGTATATGGATTTGTTAGGTGTTTGTGAGTATTATGAGTGGGTTTTTTTTTTTTTTTTTTTTGACTATGTCTCCCTAGTCCCAGCCCATCTGGAACTCACTATGTAGACCAGGCTGGCCTCAATCTCACAGAGATCTACTTGCCTCTGTCTCCTGAGTGCTAGGATTAAAGGCATGCACCACCACGCCTGACTATGAGCATTCTGTTATCTGACTTACATTAACTTGGCATAGCTTGATGAGCTTCTATCCTGACTATTTGATCCAAATTTCAATGGGAAGTGTTCTTCAGAAACACTATGTTGAAGATACTGTTGGATGCAGGGTGTGTACCATTCAGTAGTCTTAAGTTTCCGTGTGGACATTTCTGTGATCCATTCCTGACAGCCTTAGACAGATGGTGTTGAATGCAAAGATATCAACTTATTTGCCAATGAAAAATGATGTTTTGGGGGATCAGGGAGCCCAAGATGGAGACTGTAGTGAGGTTTCAGTATGGCTGAGTGAAGAGTTGAACTCCTGGCCTACAGTCTGTATTCACCTCTGCTCAGTGCCCATACTCCACACTCAGGTGACATAGAACCTGTGCAGTGCCCAGATTAAGTCAGGTCAACTCTGGGACTGACTGTAGCTCAGACACTTGTCAGCATGTGTCTTTGGGTAAGTTTTATAAACCTCTGAGCTGCAGGTTTTCACCTCTGTGACAGGGTTGTGCTCATAGCTATGTCACAGGTATGTACTGAGATCATAATGTGTAGTTGCCAGCCGAGAGCCTGGCAGTCTACTGCAAGAGCCTGACAAATGGCCAAGAATTGTTAGCATATC